AAAACTCAGGCCTTGTCCATCACCATATAATTTATACTGGAGAGAAGCACTACAAATATAAAGAATGTTGCAAAACTTTTAGTAAAAAGAAAATTCTTATTTACCACAGAGGAACTCACAATGGAAAGAAGCCCTACAAAAGTAAAGATTGTGGCAAAGCTTTTGGTCAAAAATCAGACCTTATTTACCACAGAAGAACTCACACTGGAGAGAAGCCCTACAAATGTACAGAATGTGGCCAAGCTTTTGGTAAAAAATCAGACATTATTTGCCACATCAGAACTCACACTGGAGAGAAGCCCTACAAATGTAAAGAATGTGGCAAAGCATTCAGTAAAAAATCATACCTTACTTGCCACTTCAGAACTCACACTGGAGAGAAGCCTTACAAATGTAAAGAATGTGACAAAGCTTTCAGTTTAAAATCACTCCTAATTTGCCATAGAAGAACTCACACTGGAGAGAAGCCCTACAAATGTAAAGAATGTGGCAAAGCTTTTAGTCAAAAATCACACCTTATTCGCCACAGCAGAACTCACACTGGAGAGAAGCCCTACAAATGTAAAGATTGTGGCAAAGGTTTTGGTCAAAAATCAGACCTTACTTACCACAGCAGAACTCACACTGGAGAGAAGCCCTACAAATGTAAAGAATGTGGCAAAGCTTTTCGTCAAAAATCATACCTTATTCGCCACATCAGAAATCACACTGGAGAGAAGCCCTACAAATGTAAAGATTGTGGCAAAGCTTTTGGTCAAAAATCACACCTTATTTACCACATCAGAACTCACACTGGAGAGAAGCCCTACATGTGTAAAGAATGTGGCAAAGCTTTTGGTCGAAAATCAAACCTTATTTACCACAGGAGAACTCACACTGGAGAGAAGCCCTACAAGTGTAAAGAATGTGGCAAAGTTTTTGGTCAAAAATCACAACTTATTTACCATAGCAGAACCCACACTGGAGAGAAGCCCTACAAGTGTAAAGAATGTGGCAAAGCTTTTGGTCAAAAATCACACCTTATTCGCCACAGGAGAACTCACACTGGAGAAAAGCCCTACAAATGTAAAGATTGTGGAAATGCTTTTGGTCAAAAATCAGACCTTACTTACCACAGGAGAACTCACACTGGAGAGAAGCCCTACAAATGTAAAGAATGTGGCAAAGCTTTTCGTCAAAAATCATACCTTATTCGCCACATCAGAAATCACACTGGAGAGAAGCCCTACAAATGTAAAGATTGTGGCAAAGCTTTTGGTCAAAAATCACACCTTATTTACCACAGCAGAACTCACACTGGAGAGAAGCCCTACAAATGTAAAGATTGTGGCAAAGCTTTTTGTCAAAAATCATACCTTATTCACCACATCAGAACTCACACTGGAGAGAAGCCCTAGAAATGTAAAGATTCTTGCAAAGTTTTTGGTCAAAAATCACACCTTATTTACCACAGGAGAACTCACACTGGAGAGAATCCCTAAAAATATAAAGAATGTGGCAAAGCTTTTGGTCAAAAAATAGACCTTATTCACCACAGGAGAACTCACTGGAGAAAAGCCCTACAAATGTAAAAAAAAATGTGGCAAAGCTTTTACTCAAAAAATGGGCTTCATTTGCCACATCAGAACTCACACTAGAGAGAAGCCTTACAAATGTAAAGAATGTGGCAAAGCGACCAGTCAAAAATCACACCTTATTTGCCACAACAGAACTCACAATGGAGAGAAACCTCACAATGCAAGTATGTGACAGTTTTTACTCAAATTTTACCACTTATTTGCCACAGAAGAATTTACACTGAAGAGAAGCCTTACAAATATAAGGAATGTTGCAAAGCTTTTAGCAATAAAACAGGCCTTATTCACCACAACAGAACTCATGCTGGAGAATAGCCCTACAAATGTGAATAATGTGGAAAGCTTTTAATAAAAAATAAAACTTTATTCACCACAGCAGAAGACATGCTGGTGAATGTGAAATGTGAATAAAGTGATAATACTTTTAAAGAAAGACTTAACCTTGGGGCTGGGGTTGTGGTTCAGTGGTAGAGTGCTAGCCTCGCATGTGTGAGATTCTGGGTTTTATCCTCAGCACCACATAAAAATAAATAAGTAAAATAAAGGTATCGTGTCCAACTACAACTAAAAAATAAACATTAAAAAAAGAAAGACAAAATATTATTAACAACAGAATTTATACAGAAAAGAACCCCTACAAATTGAAACAATGCAACAAATCTTTTAATAAGAAATCAATTCTTTTCACCACTAGGCTACTTATTCTGGAAAGAAGACATCTAAATGTAGAGAATGTAGAAAAATTTTAAATTATATATCATATATTACTAGACATTAGAGAAAACACACTGGAGAGAAGCTCTACAAATGAGAACATTGTATCATTACTCTAAGAAAGGGACAACATTTAATCCTCACCATAATAACCATAGTGTAGAGAAAGTTTTGAAATGTGAAAATTGATAATG